CCGGGTGGAAACAGCCGCATGCACATCACTTCAGCTCCCATTTCTTGTGCTCCATCTACGATACAATTCATCACAAAATTGAATTAAATCCTCTACTCGTCCATTGTAACAAGTAATGAAGATTGATAAGGAACCGGGGAATGTAAGCAATAGAAAGATTTATTCAGTTTGATATCTTGCGCCATCCTCTCCTGTTGTGTGTTTAAAAAAGTATGACACCATTTCGGTATGGATAAAGATTAGTTCGATGGGGACAGACTGAAATTAATTCAGTGACAGAAAGCTCTTTGCTAGAACCTCTATTGATGAAAACATCGTCAGTGAAGTCATTCCTCTTGACACTGCCACTATGGGATTGATTGATTCATTGCAAAGATAATTCAGTTTCCGTAAATTTAAATTTTTTAAATTCTCATCGAGATCAGTTGCATGTGAATAGTGGATCACACTTCGACTGTACATGTGTGTAGGTGTGTGGCCAAGAAGCGAAGGAACCATGCCATGATTCAAAAGAGAGAATAGAAGGTACTCGGTGGGCTATTCTGATAGAGACTGTGTTCAAATTAACCCGCCTATTTTGACGTTTGGGTTGCGTTATGTTTTGTACACGGGTTACCCCGATGGGACTCAGATTTCAGTCAGCTATAGCGCAATCTATCACGGCTTGAAATTCCATGGTATCAGTTTGTTCCATCATTCAGAAGTTTTGCGTTATAGGTACCTATTTTATGTGATTTTCTTTTCCAGAGGACCGAACGGAATTCTGCCTTTGTTTCCGGTCCTAAGTCCAGAATGGTTCAATTTCTATCAGTTAAAATAGAATTTAGAATCTGCGAAATCTTCTCCACTTCAGTGATTTATAAAAACGTAATCTCTTGAAATATCCTATCCAATATTTTTAAATGACAGATTGGGTCTTTCCACAATCTGATGAGCAGAAAGTATTTCCAAGGATGAACAGATATTAGACACCTCCGACTCCAATTCCCAACTTAGTGATCATCAACGCAGTGCATACCCACACCCACAACCACGGTCCTACCTGACGTTTAGAATAGGTATATCGAACTTTGACATCTGCTTCCACTTCCAAATAGTCGAATGCCAACTCGAGCCGCACGCGAATCGGTGCCGCGGCGTACGTGTTGGGCACGGTCAGTAGCCGTTCGAATTCCAACGGCTCAGTGAATGTGACCTGATCCAGTCCTTCGATTTTCATGTTGTACAGTTCGGCCATCCCGACACGTATTTTGTCCGAAATCTGACCGGACATGGGCCCGCCTGATTGTAGCAGAGATTTGAGTATCACTCTCACCGAATCGTATGTGAGCAACCGGGTACAGGTGAGTGGATCCCGTGTGCGTATTTTGAAGACAGTATCGGTCCAAACTGTGATAGAACAAATATGGAATAAGCGATGAATTGCAGAACAAAATAAAATGTGTAAAATAGACTGAAAATAGACAAATCATTAGATAATGATCCGAGATTTCCGGTAGAACCAGTGATTTGGACTAACTATCATTCTAACATCATGTGCATGCACAATCTTCAATCCACCATGCAGTTGAGAGGAACCAGACTAAAGGTTCATTCTCCATAGGCGTTCAGTTAAGGTTAACAGAGTCAACTGTGTCTCCTTTTGTTGTTTCTATTTATAAAGATGGCAGCTGAACAAACTTGAATTGGCAATTTTGGTCAGTCCCGTGGTGTGTTCTGCTTGGTGAAGTGGTAATGCATACATCTTCTATACGATAGGAATGCAGTTCGAATCCAGGACGGGACGTTGTATATGCACTAGTGAATCGCTACGAGGAGAGAGTACAAACCTCAAGTCTCGAGCGCATACCGAATGTGTATGATCTTGACTCGGTGAACTGAACGAATGAAATTTCAAGGATGATAAGTTCAAATCAATATGATCTATCCCACTACTCACCACTACTCATAAGTAAGTATAAGTTAAAAAAAATAATGAATGCGACCGGGGCAGATGAGCTGGGAAGCACTGAATCACTAGTGATCACGCATCAGTCATATAGAGATTCTGAGGTGTGAGAATCGATCAAATCCGATTGGAATGCAACTCAATTACGATTGAGTTCAGATCTGATTTATGAAAGAATTTTCGTTTGCTAACAACAACAACAACAACAACAACAACAACAACAACAACAACAACAACAACAACAACAACAAACACAACAACAACAACAAAGGATAATGAACAACGGCTTCTTCCCTGTTCGGACGGCTCAGCAGAAGTGCGTATGAACATCATCCTTGTGGTTCCACGGTATTGGATTCGGTTTTTAAGTTTCGTGATTTAAGTTTCGGCAAGAATACAAAAAAAACAGCACACACATTGCCGACAAGTCCCAACCAAAGATCCTTCACAGTCCGTCTGGACGACGCACAATCCCCAATCCATACACTATACGTGGAACTATGTGAATGAAACAGCTGTGCCGTGCTTCCCTTTTTCGGCCGCTACCGACAATTTTTAACTCTGATTTGGCACTGGGCCAAATTCTCCCGGAATCAAGTGATTCACGAAACCTGGTTACACCACAAGGCCCTCTGTCGTGATTTCGTTTCACTTAACCATTACATGTCACATTTTGCCGCACAATGCGGTGGAAATAAGGAAATAAGGAAACAATTCGACCAGCAAGGAAATCTATGAAAGGCACGATCGTGACAGACTGAGAATTTCGTGCACACATACAAGACAACCTGTTGACTATGTTCGTTATTCGGGAACACCCTGGATGAACAAAAGAAGCGAGTTGATGAAATATCCGTGAACGAATGTCCGGATCAAAATGTGATCCATTACCGGCAACCACTTTACTCGGAGTGATGATGTTCAGCAATCTGGTTTTGGAGGTTCAACTTTTCTCGGTTCTTTATCTGATTCGAATATATTGGATGAGATTTCGAGTGGAATTTAAAAATTCAGTATTCAGTGCGTCAATTTTGTAAATTACTTCTAGACAAAGAGTGTTTTCTCTTACCTGTTTGGATCGACTGAATTATCCGCCAGACAAAAATCAAAAATAAGAAGAAATAGGATCATCAAAGTCCAACAGAGATAGTGGTGGTGATGGTGATGGTGGTGGTGGTGGTGGTGGTAATGCAGATAATAATCGATTGCCCAAGGTCATTATTCATCGATTGTATGTGACCTCCAAATCCGAGGGGCTGGAACCGCACTATCAACACCACACTTTGATTTTACATAAATTCATTTCTGCTCCGAAGCGTGTAGCCGCTAAAATCAATAGGTCATAATCATGTTTCTGTCTTCCACGGGCAGCGCTTCCCATAGGTCTGCTTGTCTAGGGTAAAGCTTTTCTTTTAGCTAAATCTACACCCGGACGATTGTAAAACAATTTTTGGGGGATCGAATCAACAAGGTCGTGATGAGTGAACACGAAGCTGCGACAACCGGCACAACAATAGATCGTTTCGTACAACATTGTTTTTTTTGTATCACGTTCAAAAAGTTCTGGATCAGTAAGGAACAACAAAACACTTGCAAACCTTTTTTTGCGCACATAAATGCATCGAAAACCCGAACGGGTAGATGGAAGAGAGATTCACTTGCTAGATTCAGGGTGTGTACAATCTATATGTATGTATGCATGTGGTGAGGGAAATCGAATAACGTGTTATGGGATATTTATTGTTTCACAGGGTTTGGGGTGCCGAGCTACAATATGTAATGTATAAGGCACTCACAAACACAGACGACTAATTGTCGAGAGGAAACACGGAGCTGGGACGAGCGAGGGCAAGCCTCGAACCCGAGAGTATCACTTCAGGACATCAAACCAATCGTGGGCAGTAATTTACAGGTAACTTTAAAGCGTTTAATGGACAAAAATGAAGAGGTGAAAAATAACTAGAGAAATAAAATAAAAAATAAAATAAAAATAAAACAAAATAAAAATGGAAGACTAGGCAGGTAAAAATTGGTTCCGAAAAACGCACTTTCCACTTTTCAATCCGGGGGAAAAGGGACGGATTGCGCAATACGGAAAAAAGTAATCCTTTTCTGCAATCTTTTGGAATCTGATCGATTGTTGAATATACAAATATACAGTCAACATTCAGGAAGAGGGCCGCAGCCATACAAAGGCTGCCAGGGGAAAATAGATAATTAGGGAAGACGGGCGGCAGACGAGCGGTTAGAACCCGGGACGTCCAGGTCACAAGTTGGTGACCTAACCAGCTGGTCACCACGGACCGCGGTGAAAGATAGACTCAACCTACCTGACCGATGACTGCTGCCTATTCATCGGAGAACATTTTGATAGAGAGAGAGAGAAAGATGTGTAGTGGCTGGTGCATTAGAAAATTTGCTCAAAGGCTGCAATTCTCGATAAAACAGCTTTTAGGGTGTCAGGGAAAGCTCAACCCTCCCCTGAGAATTCTCGCGGTTTGAATTCGAAATGGATTACGATCAGCCGCAACCGCGAGAACTCAACGGGGTTTTCTCGAGCGTCCTGAACACGTAGTCACGTCAGGTTGACAAACAGAAAACGGCAACCTGCTGGTTTGTGCAATCTTTCCGTTAGCACTGTCGTAACCTCGATTCCAGAAAAATGACTAGATTGCAATCAATCCCATATACCGCATGTGTCTCCCTTTCTCAAATCACGTCTGGCTAGCACTATCAATAAAGACTTGCACTGCTTACAACTGTCCTTTTGTTGGGATCTTGGTGATCTGCATCGTGGGACCACCAGGTTCAGTGATCGAGTTTGGCGAGACAGAACACATTGGTCAGGGTTGGAAAAGTCAGACACGACTATATCATCATCCGCAGTGTGATGGGTAGGAATTGAACAGAGATTTGAACAAAAGTGAAGAAAGAAAAAAGTGCATTTGTTGTCAGACCTTGAGTAGAGAACAACAAAGTAAGTACCCGGATCACGTGAGAACTATTAACAATTATGTGGAACGGTTTGGAAGGTGTAGTAATCAAGGAGAGTAACTGTGTCAAACCACACCGAAAAGTCATGGAAGCATCTGTTTCACCAATCAGTCAAATTGTTCGCCAATAGTTCAAACAGGGTTGATTGAACACAGTTCGAGGTGAGGAATTCAAGTAGATTTCAATTTGTAATGCTGTTGAATGCGTCCGTGTAATTCTGCGGGACAACGCTAGCCATGGAGCAACGCGTTTTTGGTGCGATCAGCCGAAAATTGATTCATTCCTATTCGTTTTGTGGTTGCTGAGCACGTTCAATCCGTACTGGGTTTGAAGGCCGTACGCGATCTGGAGCAATCTGTGTCACTGCAGTCCTGCATGCTGTCGATTGTTCATTCCCTGTCACAGAGACTGATCACGAATAGTTTTACTGATATCGGCAGTACGTGCATACACACCTCCGGGTTGAAATTCATTGGTCGTCGACAGTCAAGCACGTTTGATTAGCCCTGCCCGCGACGCCACATCCATCAAATCCATTTCGATCAGTCTTCTAGATAAATTGATGATTCTATAGAATAGATTCAAGAAAACGGATCCGGTGGTACAGCCTTGCCAGATACGGAGAACCAAAACCAGTAGTTCCATACTCCTGAAAAGTCTACCGATGAGAATGCCCCTCTGGTGTTGCGAGGATCAAGCAGAAAAGCAATTCAAATAGACGAGTTTCTTCCGAGGAGGAAAGCTACGGTGATCCTGACCCATGGGATAACGCCAAACACGGAGCGACACGTTACAGTTTCTGGACATCGAACAACAGGCCAATCGTGTCGACCAATCAGACGGAAGCTGTATGACGTCAGGACTACAAGCAGGCCATTAGTGGATGCCCGTATAATCGACAAAACTTCCTTTGTACGTGCTACTTAATCTCAGTGACTTCTTTCAATAAACGAACCGATAATTGTGTGCCGTCTCTCCTGCGTCTCGGTGAGGAGAGATTCCAGCGTACAAGTGCTAGATCGATTCAGTGTTTCAGTTGTGTCCGCGATTCGTAATCCGTACCTCATTCGAATACTACACCTGCTCCACGTGAACTTCCTTCAGAATTATCCTTATTTTCACAACCGATGTAGGCTGACTGGTTCAGTTAAACGGGAGTAATGATGACCAGTTTACACAGTGGTAGTGATTCAGTGTCAGGGTGCATGGGTGACGAAAATAACTTGAAGGGAATTCAGTTTCGTCTCATTCATAATGGCTATAAATTGTATTTTTTACTTCCGTTTGTCACGAAATTTGGTATCGTATGTCGTCCTCCGGGAGGTATCTCA